TCCCTGAATTCCCTCCATCTTGTTTCAGCCAAAACTATTTCATAGGATGATAGACTCCTAGGGTTGCAAGGTACTTCAAAGGTCTTCTGATCCAACCAAAACACAAGTTGCCTAAGGGCACCATTTTCCCTCTCTGGGACTTATGTCCTGCAATCCCACAGGCTCCTTCAAAAAAACTCAGCCCAAACCTAAATATCACGTTCCAGCTTCTCTTTTGCACTTCTTTCTCCTGCTTTTCTCTTCATTTTCTGTGTGAAAGTGGAGATAGGAGTATCTCCCTGCCTTCCCCCAGGTGAGAATTCAGCAAAGCTTGCTCCACACTGTGAAATGTTGCCCCTCACTTATATAAGCTCGCCCCAAGTTGGATCTCTCAGAACCAGCTCAAACCCCAAACCCCTCAGGCCTAGGTTTGTTTGATGGCAAGACCCTCAGCCAGGTAACGTGAGTGAGATACAATAATAGCCATCTTCCTTCCAGCCCCTGAAAGCAAGCCTCCCTATAACAGGGTCCCACTCCATGGGTGGCCACAATGCCCCTGGAGCCCCCTCAGCCCTTGTCAACCTGGCTGTCTTTGGGCAATCTCCCCATCTCCTCGCCTGCCACGTCTTGATGAAAAGGGAGGCTGCCTCAGGGCTTCCCAAGTCAGATCTCCTCATGAGCGTCGGTGTCGCTGCCCATCGCCTTAAGGGCCAATTATGTGGACTCCATCCTCCCTAATACTCATGCCCATGGTGCCACACATACCCGTCAATCCTAACTGCCCCAATGGGTGATGGGCTCCTGGCTCTATTTGTCCATTACACCAGCTCCAATCTCTCTGAGCTATGGGCATTCAGGCCCCCTTAGTCTCTGGCTGTGGTTCTCCTGACTTTCAGTCCTTCTCCTTAGACCCTGGCCCTGCTCCTAGGCCGCTTGAGACCCCTGGGCTCTCCAGCCCTGGCAGCCTCTGGCTGTGTCCCTTCTTAGCCTTTGGCCCCTCCTGAGCTCTGGCCCCTCTCCTACACCCGTGAGACCTACGGGCATCCTGGCCCTACCTGATCCCTGGACCCTCCAGCTCTCTGCTCAATCCCTGGCCCAACTGGGACCTCCTTACATCCCCTTAGTCCCTTCCACAATGCACCAGAGTTGCATACCGCAGCTCAGATGTTGCCCAGGAGCCCTGCTGCTGCAGAGCTCCCATCTCCATGACTCTCATGGCCAAACTGCCTGTCCAGCTCTAGCTTTGGGCTTATACCCTGCTAGCCCAGCCCCTTGCTGCTTAGTTGACTCCCTGGTTGCCACCTGAGCCCTCGCTGCAGCCTCTTCTCCTCCTACAGCAACAAGTGTGACTCCCATGCTGCCCTCCATGGGCTAGGAAGCCCTAAGGGGCACATTTACACATGCACTTTAATGCACATTAGCCTATTTTAATGTGCATTGAATTGTCAATAAAAAGGTGCTATTTAGTTAATGTGCATTAAAATAGGCTAATAAGCATTAAGCATCATTTAAAAATCATGGTTTTTTTAGTTAATGCACAATAAGACAGGCTAATGCACGTTTTCTGAGTTAAAGCGCCCTCACCGCCATTTTGAAGTGCAGAACACTGAATACAAATGAAGCTGTAA